CTCTCTCTCTCTCTCTCTCTCTCTCTCTCTCTCTCTCTCTCTCTCTCTCTCTCTCTCTCTCTCTCTCTCTCTCTCTCTCTCTCTCTCTCCCTGCCAGCACATTTTCAAGCTAGCAGTTTCCCGAATGTATCGAACCACGAACGTGGGATTGTACAATCGAAAACAGGTTTTCCCCACGCTTGTGCCAGGCCCTCTACAGTCTCTACTGGGCCTTGCCACATGGCTGACTAGATTGCAGTTTCGAGTTTGAACTGCATTTCAAACTGTGTTGTCCTGAATGCATTTATAAGCTCTAACCCTAACCCTGCCATAGATTTCCCTGTATCCTTGTGAAGATGTCGTTTGCGAGGAGGATCTTGTTCGCGAGGGTTGTTGGTCATCATTCTTGTCATCGCCATCCTGCTGACCTTCTTTGCGATCACGACGCTCATCCCGAGCCCAACCTTCTTCTCGATCTTCATTGCAGTTCCACATCTATATTGATAACCTGCTCTAAATTGCGATCGTGAACTTTCTTGCTCTAAATTGCGATCGTGAACTTTCTTGCGCACCCGATCTTCATTGCGATCCTGATTGTCATTGCGATCCGGATCCTCATCAAGCGATCACGATATTTGGTAAGATCCCAATCTTTGTTGCTATCAGGATCTTCAGTATGATCCTGATCTTCGTTGCGAGCCGGATCTTCATTACGATCCCGACATGCGTTGCAATCCGGATCTTGAGTATGGCCCTGATCACCATGACATGTGCACTTTTGAAGTGACTAGTAGAATCAGAGGGAGCAAGACGAGAAAGCAGAGGATGCAGAGAAGAAAGACCTGGCCTGCCATCTTCGTTATGCTCCGGATTGCCATGAAGAGTTGCGACCGTTACAGTTACAAGAGGGAGGAGGAGGAGGAGGAGGAGAAGGAGGAAGATGAGGAAGAGGAGGAGGAGGAGGAAGAGGACGAAGAGGAGAAGAGAGGGGGAAGAGGAGGAGGAGGAGGAAGAGGAAGAAAAAGAGGAAGAAGAGGAAAAGGAGGAGGAAGAGGAGGAGGAAGAGAGAGGAAGAAGAGGAATAGTGAAAATAGTGGCCATAGACTGCTTCGTGGACATGCTTCAACAGGAAAGAGCAATACAACTTCGTGGGCACATTTCTCAATTGAAACGCGCTCCCGACACTCCTCAAGGGGCTTCTCCCAAAATCGCCTTGCAGCACGACCGACTTTCCCGACCAGGAAGAAGAGGAAGAAGAGGAGGAATAGGGGGAGGGGGAGGAAAAAGTAGCGGAGAAGAGGAAGAAGAGGAAGAAGAGGAAGAAGAGGAAGAAGAGGAAGAAGAGGAAGAGAAAGAAAACGAGGAGGAACAAAAAGAGGAGGAAGAGGAAGAGGAAGAGGAAGAAGACGAAGAAGAGGAGGAAGAGGACGAAGAAGAGGAGGAAGAGGGGGAAAGAAGAGGAGAAAGAGGGACAGCTGTCGTCTTCCTGCTTTCATGGGACAGCTTCCGTCTTCCTGCTTTCATGATCATTCGCCATAGTGAGGTCGATTGACAACCATGAGCACTATCGCATTTCTTATCACAATTCTTTTGATATTGTTGTTCTCTGCGATCTCGATTCTCATCTCGTTGTGATCTCGATTTGGATCATTGTTTGTTGTGATGACGCTTTGAATGATTTGGATCGTGCTTGTCCTCTCGATACTCGCCTTCATGAAATCTCTCCTTCATTGTTTTCATTGTGCTATGGAAGAAGAAGAAGAAGAAGAAGAAGAAGAAGAAGAAGAAGAATTGAAAGTAGCAAGCCCAATCGCCACTCGTCCGCGTACATTAAACATAACATTCATCACAATGTGAACATATCTGATGCTCAAACGTGCACTTCCTCAACGCGTTTCGGCTGGTTGCGCCCCAACACTTCTCAAGAGGCTTTCCTCTTTCCCGCATCCACCTGCACTTTCCACCCAGAGCAAAGAGGTTCGTTATGGCCTTGCCCTCTACACATATACTGACACAGCAACCACGGCCACTGCTGCACGGGACGTGCGACTGCAACTAACAGGGCGACGACCGCTAGGCTCCGCTGTAATGGAACGAGTATGCACAGATCCCCAAAAAAACCATCCACCCCAGACACCTCATGCGTGCACCCGCCTGTGCAGAGGCTACTTTTTCCACGTGTACTGGTCGTCGGGGGGGGTCATTCCAGTGCTAGGTAGGCAAAACTTGGGCCATACTCCGAAAAACCCCACTTGCTCCGTATTTCCGATTTGTTACGTGCCCCATGCACCTTGTTCCCTTTCAGGCCGGTACCGGCTCTACGGCCCCCGACGACACCTCCAGATCTGTAACAACCTAGGACTCCGACCGATATAGACTTAGTAATATACAACCCGGTACCTCCTGATACTGGGACCACCTTCCTAGCACTTCCATCCCTTCCTACTACACTTGGAAACAACAAAAAACCACTAGATTGCACAGTCTCTACTCATATAATGGACATCACACCAGATTATAAGGGCTCTATTTGTCTAATGTACAACCCAGTACTGCGTAGTACCGGGGTCTCATCACTACCTGGAAATAATATACCGTTTGGCCACTTGCGGATCCCCACTAGATCCTATAGGCTAAACTATCTGGTTACACCTTATTCCTAATATTGTTGTTTATCCCAACCAAATGTAGGTGCTGTTGTTCTGGGAAAAGCTAACCAGCCCTTCGGTGAGCATCTGCCATGCTTCACCAAATCTTGCCAGGGTGTGGAAGAAGAACGTCGGGGAGTAACCCCGGCGACTGAGCTCGAAGCTCATGTCCAAGACTGGTGTAATCACTGCTAAAGGGTCACTACAGTGTTGTTGGACACTGTGTAGTGCTGCCGTGATAGCGCCGACCTTTGTCTTCTTATCTGAGTACGACATAAAGTCTTGGAAACACTTGAAGTGGAGGACATCACTTTCCCTGCAACCATGATTTATGTACACCTGATGAGAAACTTGGTAGGAAACGATAGTGCTATAATTCTAGTACCCAGGAAATCCCAGGAATTCGATTTGTCGTTTGTTCGCACCAACTGCAACTGTTCTCCATTGGCCTGCGCAAACTGCTCTTGGATTCTCTTTATTGTCGCATACCTATCTGGACCGTCAAATCCCCTGTGACCACCAGAATCACATCATCTATCAAACGTACCCCGTGCACCAACCTCATGTCTCTCCCAAGAGAGTTGAGGAATTCCGCTTCAAATCTAGCACACAGTGTACACGCCAATGGGGGGCTCAAATTCCTTCCCATTGGTACCCCAACCACCTGTCTCAAGATCACTTCCTTGCACATAACATGTGTGTTGGCCAGGTCAAATCTCACAAGCTGCCTAATCATCTTAAACTTGAAATCCACATAACCCGGTCCCAGGCTCTTCTTACTAAATACAGCCACCCTTCCTCTCCTACTAAGGGTGATCTTCTTTATCCCCTACTTCTCCCATTGGTCTAGCAACCAGTCCACCGCTCTTACAATTTCGTTTTGCGGTAATGATGTGAACGTCTCCTTAATGTCATAACTTGCCACCATGGCCATCACATCAGGTCCGATCCTACCACTCCTGCTCCCTACTCTCTTCAGGTTATGTACCTAGAGAGACGTCGCCTTTAAATTGAAATGCCTAACTCCCGGTGCTAGCTCCAGCAGGTGGTTCGGTCACCAACCTTTTCCCTGTCGTCCTTGTCCCATCTTCACATGCTAGGGCTATTGTTCTCCACCTGGTCAGGTCCTTGTTTTTTGGTAGTATGTATGCTCTCCCAATTCTTGCTGTTGGGTTCCAGGCTCCCAATTTATCAAGCTGCAGCAATTTATACTCCTTCCTTATCTCCACCAGTACTTCCCTTTCTTCCTTGTGAACCACCCTCTCATATGCAGTGTTGAATGTAAACATCATTCGAAGACCATGATGGTAGGTTGTTGGGCATAGCACCACAAGATCGCCCGGGTTTCTATCCACAGGTACCACTACCAAATGTTGCAACTCTCTTGCCACTGCTCTAGCACCACTCTCTAAACACGTAGCCTGACGCCTGCCACCCTCCATGACACAATTACCAAAAGCGCATACATCTACCACGTGCACGTCGCCCTTCGTCATGACAGCTTCCAAGGCCAATATAGCTTCTTTCTGCAGTGCTTCCCTATCAATGCTGACATCGTTGCAGAGGACATTCTTACCGTTGAGAAGAAAATTCTATAGATTGGCAGTTGCGTAATCCTCAGAAGAACATGCCCATCAACTTTGGGAAGTTCATCACGTTTACAAGTACACGTAACGCAGGATGTCCCCGCCGACACACGATGATTGGTCAGCACCTGCTGCAATGTGACATTCCTCCCCCCCACAATTCTGACCCGTTGTTTCATCACCGTCTTCAAAATTGGGTGGATTCTGCACTTATCAATACTCAAGGCCACAGTCTCCCGAAGTCTCCTCCTACTCACCTTGTGGCTATAGCGCACCGTATAGTTCACCTTCCTCTTAACATCCACACCAGATTTCCTTCGTATGTGCGATGCGAGTAATTCCTTCAGGGTTCGCCTGGTCGTCTTCATCTTGAACTCTCTTGCAGTCATGTACAAGAACACTAACTTGGGCAAATCGAATCTCTTAAGCTTCCTTCTCCTTCAGGGTGACTCAAGTAACTGCTTCAAGTATCCTTTAGCCCTCAATCGGCAGTTTTTCGTCTTCACTAATGGTGCAACTAAGTAAGTCCCTCCTTCCTCAAAAACCCTCTTGGCTTTTACCAAGTGGCAGCTTGAAATTTGTGTCTTTAAGAACAGAAGCACCAAACAAACGCTTAACAATAGACCACCTCTCACTCCACACCTAACAGCCTGAACTGGTGATTTCAACTCTCTTTCTACCTGAGGCATTCGCTTCCTCCATAAGTTGGGTAGGACAAGCTGATTTTTTTACCCATGTAATTCTCGGTGAAGACAATTAATGTGTTGGGGATAACCTCCCTATTAAGGTTTTCTCCATTTTCAACAAATTCTCCCCCACACTTGTTGCTATGGGGAGCACAAGATACTTCCCCAACCAAACGATCTAAGAAAATTGTAAAGTTTAGGTGCATACCCTGTACTCCCCGCTGCGGTGCATTGGATATGTTCCCACTAACGCTTCGCTGGCCCACGCACAATCTGACCCACATACATCTTTCTACACCACGGGGATACTGAGCGGTAAACCACTGGGCCCTTCAGGTCAGAGAAGTTATGCTGCCCCGAAACCAATGCAAACAACTTTGAGGCCCATGGGACTTGCCCACACGCTATTAACAGGATGAACACAACGATAATGGCTTGTTCAATGGTAATCTTGAGATTTGTTAGTACATACGTCCCCCAGGTGGCATCTCTCAGTCCCAGCAACCGGAGCGTCTTGCCCCACAGCAACCGTGTTGGAGGTGGACACCATCATTTAGCATATCCCTCCGCTTCACCACTTGAGGACCCATCCTTCTTGTCCCCATCACTGTTTGCTCCCTCGAGACATTCTTCATACACAATCTTGGTCTCCGCTGCTACCAGTTCCGTGACCGCTCGATCCTTGGTCATATACTTAATGTTCCTTGATTTACAGAGCTTCTTCAGGTCGGGAACCTTCATCACTTTCATATTCTCTTGCAGGTCCACGACGAACTGTATGACCCCTGCTTTCGAACACAGCAGAGGGATTGCCCTCCGTTCCAGTTCCTATGGTTCTGCTTACGTGGGCAATCCCTCGCATAATGTCCATAACCATAGCAGTTATAACATTGCGTGCCAGGTGGTACATTAGGAAACATCACAGGAGGTTGTTGTGATGGAGGTGGAGGAGGAGGAAGAAGAGGGAGTTGGGGTGGGGGCGGGTGCAGTTGTGAGTTTGGGTGTTGTTGCACTCCCATTCCCAAATAATTGTGGTGTTCGGCCATGACTGTTTACAGGGTATGTTCCCCCTCGCGAAAGAGCCAATGAATAAATAAATGAATAAATAAATAAATTGTCTAACCCGCCATGAACTACTCCTGAAACAGTTCGCTCCAACTCAGACAATTCCACTCCCTCCCGTACGTGCGTTTCTGATGTAGATAACAGAAACTGCCCCCCAACAAAGCATTCACAGGGACACTTTCAGATATTAAAGAAGCTCCCTACGGAGCGCCTCTCTATGGTAAGGAACCCATTCTCCCTTTCGCTCCGCTACCAATTCACTGACAAAATTGTCGCCCTTCTCCTCGACACTCCACATGATCCACCAGCCACCACAGTTGGGTTGTGAAGCATGCATCCAATTTCCCTCCGCTTTCGTACTACTCTTTCGCTCACTAATAGTAACTTCACGTTAATTTACTCCCGATAACGTAAGCAAAGCAACAATTTATTGTCACCCTCCGGGCGATCCACACTTTCGCATCCACCCCATGTACCCCCCCTGAGCATAGAGGGTCGTCCTGGCCTTGCCGTCAAGAAGAAGAAGAAAAGTAAAAACAGCAGCCAACTGCCTTTCCTGCACGCTTCCTAACTTCTTCAATACACAACCGCCGCAT